AGCCAGTCTCCAGCTGTGGGCCCCAAGGCGCCCATCCTGGCCGCTGCTGCGGGCGGTGGGGGCCCTACCACAACAGTAGGAGGATGCGCCTGTGTTTGTGGAGCCATACATCCCCTCACGGCCGCACAAACCCTCCCCAGAGGACGTCCCGCAGGCCAGGCCCCGTGCTGCAGCTAGCGGAGTTACCAAGATGGAGGAGCCCTTGACCGCACTTGGGGTTGGCGTTCTCCTCTGAACTCCTCCAGCTTTCACCTGTCACCTTGCACTTTCCTACCGCTCTGCACCTTTGATGGGTCTTATACACGGGTAGGTCCCACTCCCAGAGCCAAGGTGGGGGGTCCGTCAAGGCCACTGTTGGATTCATCACCTTGCATTTTCCTACCGCTCTGCACCTTTGATGGGTCTTACACACGGGTAGGTCCCACTCCCAGAGCCAAGGTGGGGGGTCCGTCAAGGCCACTGTTGGATTCGATCATCTGGATACTATGCACAGAAGGCCTTGTGGAGGTTAAAGCATCTACATATTGTTTTGAAAATTCAGTGTGGGCACATTTTCAAAAAGTGCTGAAGCAGAGTCCCAGCCCCAAGGTTTCAAGTATCATAAGAAAAAGGACGCTGCAGACCCTCAGATGAGCCTATTTCCAAAAAGTTTGGCCTTCCGTGGACTTGGCTGTGGGGCCCCTGACAGTGCTGCAGGCTGAGCTAGGACCCTCCACCCGCCCCTCCTGGGCAGAAGTGAGCTTTCCAGATTTGACGTGGAAGTTCCTCTGGCTGAGTTTCCCTCTCACCCTGGGGCTTTCCAAGCTGAGAAAAGTTCTGAGCACAGTTTGGGGGCCTAGCCGAGCCCCTCAAATGCCAAAGTCCATTCAGTTCCCACACCCAGATGTGGGGGCAGAGGCCAGACTGGGCAAGGCAGTGGTGTTTGGTTGGTCCAGTGACTTCGGGCAGCGTGGATCAGTTAGAACTGACACTGAAAAGTCGGTGGTCTTAGAAAAAGCAGCAACAAATCCATTTTGATTCCCTTCCACCAGGCCTCCTGCTGATTTCATTGCTCCAGTTGCGTTCCCTCCCAATCCCAGAGGAGTGGCAGTGCTCCAGAGAAGCAGGAATGGGACACCAGAGTTCTGTTCTAAACAGCTTTATTGACCAGATGAGAAATGGGCTTGAATAGATCCCATGCCTGCAGCCCTTTCAGTGGACAGCTCCAGATAGTGTTGTCCTTTCAGTCACTGGGAGCAGCAAGGCCCAGCCCCTCCCCCTCCTCCCGCTGCTCCTGATCTGGGGGCCTGGAAGGGGTGGGGTGATGGGGCCAGAGAAGGGTCTGTGGAGAAGGGTGGGGTGGAAAGGGCTGAGGACTGGGCACAGAGGGAAGGGGTATCTGGATGAAGACTGAAGCTATGTCTGCCTCCCCCCACATCTGAGGGTCAAGCAGGTGTGGCAAGAACAGAACACTGGCCTAGGCTGTGCTGGGACAGGGGAGGGACTGCCCACAGTATCAGGACCCAGGGATAAGGCCAGAGCTAACTACCCTAAGATTTGGACCACTGATAAATGTGAATATGTGTTGGAGGTGTTTCGTTAGGGTCCCCCCATCCAACAGGGAACTAGATGCCTGATGTCAGACAACGTCTTGACGTTGGGGGTCCTCAGAGCTGGGTTGTTCTCCTCCAGCCTCGAATGGAGGACACCAGTGCCACAGACACTCAAAGGCCCTAGAGAAGCAGGTGGCTCCCATCGATGGTCCATGACCCTGCCGCATGCCTCTGCCTCCCATAGTGACTACCAAGCTGGCTCTCCTCAGGTGTGCTCAGAAGGACACCAAGAAGCCCACGCTCTGTCCCACAGAGGGGAACATCTAGGATCACATAAACCATAGCCTTCCCCACCCTATCTTCGTCCTGTTGCTCTCGCCCTCCAGGACTATTGCTGCTGCTTCTCTGGGCTCCAGGATATGGGCTCAGGTGTCTTGACCTGTTGGTGAGGACCAGTTGGTGATGGACACTCAGCCTAGGGGCTGAGAACAAAGGTCTGTGGGTGAGGTGTGGGGACAGGGGGCCTGGTCCCACCTAGACTAAAAACACTGAGGTCTCCTACTGGTGATGGCGTCAGATGCCAGGTAGGGGGGCGCTCCTTAGTGGGGTGGGACCTCAGGCAGACCCTCAAACCAAAGGGAGCCAGATGCCCAAGTTCAAGTCATTAGTGATGCGTGGCAGGGCTGAGAGAGCAAATCCTGGAGATCTCCAAGGCTGCTGGGAAGGGAATGGTGATGGAAGCACAGGAGTGGGCAGGGGGCGGCAGGCAGTGGTGGCCTCACTCAGAGTGGACCAAGGCCCCAGCTCCTTGCCCAAAGCCAAAGCCCTTGGGACCGAAGTTTTTAGCATAGCATCCTACAGAGAAAAGAGAAGGGTAAGGACACGCTCCTCCTCCCCCCGCCACACCTCCCAATCTCCCCTGGAAGATACCCCACCCCTAGTGCCTGGCCAGACCTCTGGAGAAAGCAAGTCCACCAGCACCCCCTCACCTCTACAGCACCCCAGTCTCAACAGTGAGGAGGTTCTTGGCTCCACACTGCACCCATTTCCCTGCCACCAAAATTATAGAAGCATTATCTGCTGTAAGAGCACTGGACTGGGAGTTAGGAACCCAGGTTCTAGCCCTATGCCTGCCCGATCTGCCGTGTGACTCTGACCAAGTCACTTTCTCCCTCTGGGCTTGTTTCCTCATCTTTAAAATGAAGGAGTCACACTAGATGCTCTGGCTCTTGGACCCCAAGGCCAGGAATTGGTTTACATTCAGCAAAGTCATAACTACATAGCTCCGCTTGCCCCCACGGGCCTCCTGAGCCCCAGTTAGAAGTGAAACCACCCACCTTTGCAGTAAATCTCGCCATCCTTGTCTGCCAGGGTGGTTGACTCAAGGCCTTTGCCGCACTTGGCACATCGGAAGCAGGACTTATGCCAAGACTAGGTAGGGAAGGAAACAGTTAGTGCTGCCACCAGTAACTAAGTGCCTCCCACCTCCAGCCCGACGCCCCTTGACCTAACCACGGTGGAAGAGCTCAAGACACTTCTAAAGTCTGCTCAGCAGGTGCTGCTGGGAGGACAGGGTGCATGGTGCTGGGCAGGGAAGGGAGCAGGCCAGGGACCACACACCACTTCACACCATCTTCAGTGAAGTGTTACAATGGTTCAACGGTTAGTGGCACCAGCCACACAGCAAAAGGCAGGCAAGGGGTGGGATTATTGCCCCATAGACGGGGCCAGACAAGCCTTCTCCAGACCCATGCTGCCTGTGGATTAGTAGTGTAAGCAAGGGCTTTGGACTCATCCTGGTACTGCCACTTACTAGTTGAACAGCCCCTATGGTTTTCTGATCTGGGAGACCTTTCACGCAGAATGGATGTGAGGACTAAACATTTAAAACATATAACACCTAGCTACAGAGTAGGAATTTGTAATTGAGATTCTCCTGGAACAGCCCGGCCTCTGAAGTTCTAGAATTGGGTGCCTCATTTGCCCAAAGGCTGTCACCTCTTGGGGAGTGGGGTGGCAGTACCTCCCTCACTAGGTAGCTGTGAACATCCAGTGAGTTCACCAATATAAAGTCCCTGGCATGGGGCTTGGCACAGAGGAGGCCGTGAGTCAAGGTTGTCTATTAAAGTATTACTTTGGAAGGAAAATGGGTCGATGAAGTAAATGCATTGAACTCAGCAGGAAAAGGCCTAAGGAGTATAGTTTCTCCAGGTGCCACAGAAGGCCCTTTGTGGTTGTAAGAGGTACCCCCAGGCAACACAGGGCAAGCAGCCTCCCAGAGAAGCCAAGCCCAGGTTTGTACATGGTGATGGGAGCTGTCACAGACAGTGGGACTTCTCAGCAGCCAGCTCCCATCAGCAACAGCTGAGCAGGCTATGAAGCTGATGTGTAGACAGCTCTGCTAAACTCGGGAAAAGCAAGAGGCAGGCAACAGTCGGACAGGACAAAACAAGGCCTTTTAAGGGCAAAGGGACGCCCTCAGCACAGCCACTGCTGCCCAGGCTGGAGGGTGAGAAAGGAAACGTGATCCCCTCAGATCCCCTGGCCTCCCAACTTCACACGTTGGCTCCTACTCCTGTGCCCAAGGGACAGAGGTGGGGTCCCGAGAGCTGAGATGGGGAGCCTTGGTATCAGTCCTCCCCTCAGTGCCCTGTGCAACCTCAGCAGTCACCCTGCCTTTGTTTCTTCCTCTGTAAAGCAGGAGCTGCTACCCCAAGCTCTCCAGGCTGGAGGACTGGATCACAACTAGACTACCGCTCATCCACACATTCCCTAGCCACCCCCCAACCCCCACCCAAAATAAGGTCAATTGCCCTTTGCTCATTCATATAGCACCTAAAAGTAGTCCCTGCTCCTTAATATTTCTTTCTTGGCCCAGGCAAAAGAGAAGTGGGGGTTTCTCCCCACTTTTTCTGCTTGAATGCAAAGTTCTCTTATCCTGTTCCTTAGTAGGGCCTTAAACTTACCTTACACCTTCTCTAAGTAATGGAAATAGTGATTCTTAGGTATTCCTTACAATTTTCTATTCTCAAAGTGAGACAAAGCAAAAAAAAAAAAAAAAACCAAACAAACCCAACTTAAAAATAATATTAATGTCTCCTGTTTTCATATCATTTAATCAGAGGCAAGGATCTTCATTTTGACCTCACAATAATCCCAAAAAGTAATGAAAATAGCAAGAATAACAATAGCTGACACGTGCTGAGCATATGCCAGGCAGTGCACTGTGCACTACACATGCACGATCTCATTCAGGCTTTAAAACTACCTTGTCTGTCAGGGACCGTCATTCGCTCCACCTTACATTTGTTCCACCATCCACGCCCACTTTACAGATGCAGAACTGAGGCTTAGGAAGGCTCCATGTGCCCAAGGTCACATAACCAGTAAATGGCAAAGCTAGGGGTTCAAACCAGCTTGTCTAGGGTACAAGCTGCTAATCACCATGCCAGGATTAGCCAGTCCTTCCCATTTTGCAGCTTTGGGAATGGGTTCGAAGGAGTTAAATGGCCCAAAGTAGAGTTCACAGTAGTCAGAGCAAGGGCTTCGGAGTCGTCTAGACACACCTGGGCTTGACTCCCAGCTTAGCCGCTTCCTAGCTAGAAGATATGGGCAAATTATTTAATCCTTCTGACTCTCGACTTCTTCATCTGTAAAGCAGGGATAATAATACTCGTCTCCAGCCCTGATTGTGAGGGTTGAGAGCCTGCTATGGTCTAGACCTGGCCTATGTGTTTGTTCCCCATCCCATTCCCCCTCACCCCCATCCGCAAGATGAAAAAGACTTGAAAGTCAAGATCTGAATCCAGAAGAGCTGAAGACGGGCTCTAGGCCCAGCTGTTCCATAAACTTGTGGTGTGATCTTGTCCAAGTCACTCCTCTGCCCCAGGTCTCATGGGATGACCCAGAAATCCTCTCTGGCCACAAAGCTTGAAGATACCTTTCTGTGCCTTTTTTTTTTTTAAAGTTGACTGGTAGGGGGATCTTAACCCCTGACTTGGTGTCAGCATCACACTCTCCCAAGTGAGCCACAGGCTGGCCCTTTCTGTGCTTTTCTAACTGCTGGTCTGGGACCACAAATCTCCGGGGTAAAAGTTCTCCTGCCTCTTCTCCACTGCAGCCTTCTGAAGGACGTGATCAGCTCCACTGGGAACAGCTGTCTCCCTATAGAGATTCCTACTGTGCATTGGGGATTGGGGGGCTACTACAGAACACCACAGCAGAAGACGTGTGTGGCAATTATAAACAATTTGAAAAATCCTTCCAAGAGGCTCTGATAGACCCTGAACCTTGAAAATTTCTGCCCTGGGAGTATAAGGATAGGTTCCTGGGAGTCCACATCACATGAAATGGAAATTTTTTTTTTTTTGGTAGCTGGCTGATGCAGGGACCTTGGTGTTATCAGCACCATGCTCAGAATGTATATCTTTGGGTAATTCTTAACATTTGGGGGATCACAAATCCTTTTGAAAATCTGATGAAAGCTATGGATCTGGTAGCTGGCTGATGCAGGGACCTTGGTGTTATCAGCACCATGCTCAGAATGTATATCTTTGAGTAATTCTTAACATTTGGGGGATCACAAATCCTTTTGAAAATCTGATGAAAGCTATGGATCTTCTTCCCAGAAAAGGACATATCCCCACAAGACTTTGCATATAATTTTAGAAGGTTTGTGGACCCTCTGAAACCCATTCACACACCCATAGACTCTATGATCCCCAACATTAAAGATATAGATCATCTTTGCAACTCCCTCAGAATTGCCCATAGGCAAGCCATCAGTGCAGGGGATGTTACTCTTCATGGGTGATATGAGCTCCTTGGAGACTGGGAGAAATAAGTACAAGCAACCCACAGGGACAAGGATCGCTCCTTCTCTGGAAGGGAAGCGGTTAAAGGCCAGACACCACTTGCAAAGTTCTGGAATCCACATTTCAGAAAGCAGTCCGCACCCCCCTTGCCCCCATCCCCCGCATATACCCCTTCTCCCCACCGTGCCCTTACCTTCCCAGCACCAATCACTTTCTCCGCTGCATAAACTGCCTGGCTGCAGCGGGGGCAGCGCTCGGAGCCGCCAACCTTCTGGGCAAACTTGGACGCATTGGGGTTGGTGGTGGGCCTGTGGCCAGGGCCCCTGCATGGGAAAGATGACTTACACTGAGACACATGGGAAGGGCTGGCATTGTGAGGGCATGACTCCACTTTCATCTCATGCCAGGCCAGAGGGCAGCTCTCCCAGCCAGAGTCACAAAGGTTAGGACCACCAGGGTCTCTTGGGTAATCTCCCATTTTGCAGATGGATAAATCAAGGCCCAGCACAATGTTATTTTCATTGAAACATCATACTTCCCTCAGTCACCCAATTAAAACCCTGGAATCATTTAATACCTTATTTACTAAGCCTGACCTCCTCTGCCCCTCATTCCTGCAGGGTCTATCATAAGATTCTCTCCAGGAGAAATCTGCTGACAAAGCATTCCCATTGGAGCAATGACCTTGGCTGAAACTTGATAACTCATCCATCATTTCTGTCCATCTCCCCTGGCTGACTGCCAACAGCCATCACTTATCAGCAGGTCAGAGGCAAGGGATGCTGGGGGGTGGGGATGGAGGACCCAATGACACCTTGTGGCATTTCCAAGGAAGGGCAATGACTTCCCCTAAGCCGGGGTGAGAGTGACAGGGCTGAGAGTGAGGCTGGTAGGGAACGGTGCTGATCTGAGCTGGTGCCTGGCTCAGACACTAGCCGTGGGATCCCAAGCAAATCACTGAGCCCGGGCTGGGTTTTCTCATCTACAAAAAGAGGAAATTGGACTAAGTAATTCTTGGGGCCCCTCCTAGGTCTAGCCCTTATGAACATATAGGACACATGCTCCTTGCAGGGAGGTGCATGGACTGTTTTATCCCCACTGGATCTCCAGCTCCTCCAATAGCCTGACACACCTTTAAAAGGTATGACTACCTTTTAACTAAATGGCTTTCCCAGCCTTCCACTGCTTAACCACATGTGGTTGAAAATGTGTCTCATATGGGGGTGCGGGAGAGAGAATTCAAGAAAAGGGTGGAAGGGGATCTTTTACTCACTCCTCATACTTGATGCCCAATGACTCCCCCTTGTCGGTGCTCAGCGTGCCTGCGCCCTGCCCGTAGCCATAGCCTTTGGGGCCGTACTTCTTGCCATAGCAGGACTTGCAGTAGATCTCCTCCCCGTGCACGGCCACAGTGGTGCTATCCAGGTTCTTCTTGCAGACCACTGCGGAGGAGGGGGTGGCAACAGTGAGTTGGAGCTGGGCTGAGCGGCCTGCTCCGTACAAACGCCCTACAGCTGAAGCTCTCTGGGCACTTTGCATACATAAGGTCTTGGTCTTTCAGGAGCTGTCTAGAAATGGAGGCAGGTGAGATGTCCATGAGCTGGAGGACAGAGGGATGGGATCTGCATGCTGGCCAAGCCACCTCTTCCAGGAATCCGTGTGTTTCTCCTTCAATCCTCTGCACCCTCTACCTCACCAGGCTGCACTGTACCCCAGGGTCCCGAGGCAACAGCCTAGGCTGATCCCAAGCCACAGGACGCTGGTTGACATTCTTCACTCTGCCCTTGACAAAGAGACCATGTGTCCCAACAGGAGAGGAAAAAAAAAGAACGGCAGGAAGAACAGGGTTTTCCTGCCTCTAGAAGGATCAATGTGTCATGCCAGGGAAGGCAAGAGGGGAGGATGCAGGTGAAGTGATATACTCAGGAGAAAAGTTTAACATTTATTAAGGGCCCAGCGTGGTGGGCTTTGAAATGAGATGCAGGTCATTCTAATCACAACAACAGGATCTGAAGTTTCTAATCTCAGAAATCACTTTGCCACAGGAAGAAGTGAGGTCAGATACTGGGAAGGATTTCCTGACTGCTGGGGTAAAAGAGATTGGAATGGGATGAGTTAGAATGTCCGTGGGCTTCATATGCCTTCCTGCTAATCTCAGAGGGGAGCTGTGCCCAGCTATCCAGAGTAAAACAGTTCAGAGCCTGGGGCTGCCCGGAAGCAAATCCAGCTCTCTCTCTTTGCAGCTGTGTGGCCCCAGGCAAGTTATGTTGCCTTTCCAGCCTCCATCTCTTCATTTGTAAATGCAGATAATAATGTCTGGCCCAAAAGGTGGCTGTGAGAATCAAATGGGATCTTACATGTGAAGTACTTAGCGCAACACCCTGCGCACAATAGGTGCACAGTAAATGTTGGCTGCTCAGTTAGTACCACTAGGAGACAAGGGAGAGGGAGGGACAGGCCCAGGCCTCAAGAAGTCATTGCTTCTAAACCCCAACTACCCCTCTCAGCAGACTCGACGTCACTCTATTTCTGTAGGTCTCATCCTGTAATCCTAATCTGCTTCTGCCTTCTTCCTTAAATGTTGGAGTTCAGTGTGCCCAATTGACCTGCATCCTTGAACACTTCCTTCTGAAGACGGAAACCATGGAGCAGCCGAGCCTCTTACCTCCCAAGAAGGCGCTCAGCTCAGCTCCTTACAACTTGCCATCCTCTTGCCTTTAAAGGGTCCAGCCCTTGGCCAGCTCCTCTCTCGCCCCACACCCCAGGTTGGAGGCTTTAGACTAAATAAGGACCCTTGTCCTGCCCTGGAGATCTCTACCTCATTCCAGCACTCTGGGCCACCCAAATATGGAGCTTCCCACCACCTCCCCTGGGGCTTGGCTCTGGGAAGGAAGGAGAAGGAACAACAGGCCAAGGACTCCAACATTCCCCTCCAGAGTGGGAAGCCAGGGATTGGCCTAGAATTGTTTCCCTTTAAGACCCCAATTGAACTGCGGGAACAGAGGTCTCTCTTGACTGATCTTTCCAGCAAGAGGCCCAGGAACTCAGCCCCACGTAGACACCCCCGAGATGGCTGTCCTGCCAAAGCTCTCCCTGCATCTTTCTGCTCTGCCTTGGTTCTCCCAGAGGCCCAGTCCTGCCCACCGTGGCCCTTCAGCACCCCACTGTGGCCCTCTGCCCCTCGACCTCCATCCAGGTGATATAGGCAGGGACTTTAGCTCACTTGTAAGGTCCACCAAAGATAATCAAGGAGAATTTTGAAGGAAGGCATGAATGAATTTCTACTAAATCATATGAAGCCAAAAAGAGACTGGATTCATTAAGTGCATTTGTTGGCAAAACGTACTTCTAAATGCCACCTAGCTCGGTGGGGCCTTGTGATGCTATTTAGAAATACAGGGGAGAGGCAGCCCCAGGAAAGAGGTCAGAGCCCCCCTTGGCCCACCCCAAAATGGCGAGTAATTCTTTCTGCTTCTAGAAGGGAAACCAAGGCCCACAAAAACGTTCAAGCTCACACAATTGGCCAGAAGCGGGGTCAGGCCAGAACCCAGCCCCTGACTCCCCAACCTGGTTGTTTTCTGCCAGCCCATAGCTCGGCCCACCCCAAAATGGCGAGTAATTCTTTCTGCTTCTAGAAGGGAAACCAAGGCCCACAAAAACGTTCAAGCTCACACAATTGGCCAGAAGCAGGGTCAGGCCAGAACCCAGCCCCTGACTCCCCAACCTGGTTGTTTTCTGCCAGCCCATAGCTCCTCTCGAGTAGGCCAAATATACGGGGACAGGGAGAGAGAAACTGACAGTAAACCTCAGCCTCAGGGTCAGAGGGCGTGCGAGGCTTCTGCCAACTTCCCTGTGCTCTTGGATTCTGGAGAATAGCCCAGGGCCAACTCACTGGGCCCCACCCCATCAGCCACCACCACAGGGCTGCTCAACCCAACCTGCCCCAGGAGCGAGCTGATTACAGCTCAGGGTGGCACACAACCTCAGCGCAGGTTCCCAGCCACAGCGCTGAGCTCGCCTCCCAGGCTCTGAACCGCTGCCTGCTATTGGGAACTGGCCGCTTCTGCTGAGGACTGGGGGGTGCACCACCGGCCCTCTTGGTCTCTGCTCCCAGGTCAAGGGCCAAGCCCAGGGTGGAGGTGGTTCTCCTCTGACTTTGCCTGTCTTTCCCCTGCCCTTCCCAGACCCTCAGGAAAGGGAATGTAGGTGGGCAAGCTGAGCAGAATCCAGAGGCAAGGGCCTGATTAATCAGAAGAGCTTTGGGGGACCCATCTAGCCCTGGCCAACTAGGAGCAGCATGGTCTTTACTCCCACCCAGGCCCAGACCCTGCTAGCCTCTCCCTTTCTTAAGAGACAAAGTTCTTTGGTTCTGTAGATTACCCCTGAATTCAAGCTGGACACTTATCACCCACTTGACAGAAAAAGAGAAATGCTGCTCCTTGCATTCATAAACAAATCTCTGTTAGGGACCCACTGTGTGTTGTAGGCACTAGGAATAAGCAAGCCATGGAGATGCCTCAGACTGCTGGGCACAGGCAGTGCTAAGTGGCCCCCTGAGAGCTCCCTACTGCAAGTCCTGCTATGGCTTTAGTTGCATAACACCCCTCCCCTCCCCCAGCCCTGCTCCCCAGCCTGACTTTCTGCAACTGTTTCTAATCCTCAGCACCCCCTCTCATCCTGCCCCAGGCCTGCTCCTTCCCTCCCTACACCACCCCCTGAATTCCTGACTTCCCTCAATCATCTGACCAACAGCTACTCCTCCACAAGCAAGACCACAGGAAGGAGCTCTTGGCTGCAGCTGGCCCCTTTTACTCAATGATTAAGCAACATTTGCAGAGGGAGGGGCCCATAGGACCCGAGCAGCCTGGACCCTCTTCCCAGCCAGTGCCAGGCCCTCTCTGAATTCCCTCTGAAAAATAAATGACTTGAAAATTCCTAAGTGCAGTGAACTGCTGACAACAAGATGCTGCTGTTTCCAGCCCCTGTTTGCAGGCTGGAGGTCGAGAAAGCTCCACCAAAACTTGTTTCCTCCCATGCATCAGACGTAGCCCCAGGGCTGTCAACTCCAGGCCCAGCTGGTAGGGCTTGGGGCCCCTGCTGCCCTGTGCTGGGTGGCTTCAGGCTGGTCTGTCCACAACAGGTAGAGATCTGATGAACATGCAGTGAACAGGCAGCCATTGCCCATCTGGATCCCACTCTGGAACACAAATCACCTGGGAACAAAGGAAACTCAGAGCTCCTGACTGCTTCGTGTAATGCAGGACGGACAGGACCCCATTTCTTGGCTCTCCCAGATGGACTGAAGAACATCTTTTGAGGTCTTCTTTGCATCCCACCACATTGCTGTAGATCCCTCGGCTGTGTGTGTGTGCGTGTGTGCGTGTGTGTGTGCGTACATGTGTGTGGGTGTGCGCGCACAGGCGCACGCATGTCCGGGGGCATGTCTATCATTTTTTGACCATTCATAACGTGTGTGTGTGCGTACATGTGTGTGTGTGTGCGCGCACAGGCGCACGCATGTCCGGGGGCATGTCTATCATTTTTTGACCATTCATAATTGCTTTAAGTTCTTTATTTATTTTACAACTCCTTTCCTTTTAATTCTCACAACAATCCCATGAGACAAGTATTATTACCACCACTGTAATAATGAGAAAACTCATCTGGAGAGAAATTAAGTAACTCGTCCATCATCACACAGATGATAAAAACTAAGTTCAAATCCAAAGCCCGATAGACTGGCTGTGAAACCTGGGGGTTCACTGAGACATTCTACCGCCTCCCACTCCTTGTCTGCCCTCAAGCAGAATGCATCTTGCTGCAGTTGCCTCTTGTTCTAATGCAGACCTTCTGCTCTGATCACAGTGAACTCAATCATTTAGGAATCTGAGGAGAGGCCAAGTCACCGCTTCCTGGAAACATCACCTGGCCCAGGGACCAGCCAATGCAGCATCTCAGAGTCAGGGTTCCTGGGTTGACCTGACCTCTCTCAGTTGCTTGGTGTCTTTTGCCTGGTTTCCTACTCACCCAGTCTTGTGACGGGAGCAAATCTTGCTCCGGATTATTGGGAGTGGCTGTAACGATCTTTGTGGTCCTTCCTCCTCTCATCCCAGGCTGTCTGGGTAGGAAGGGGAAGCGAAGGAGGCGAGCGGGCTAGCCTCACAGCAGCTGAGGAAGGAAGAGCCTAGCTCCTTCTCCAGACTCAGCTTCCCCATAAGGTCGTGGCCTCTGTTGCCCTTTAACAAGGGATAATAGGGGTCCAAAGGCTAGTGAAACTTCGGGCTCTGAAACGCGTCCTCTGAGATGATGGGATTGTAGCAGGGAGAGAAAGAAGAGAGGGCTGGGTGGAAGGTTTTCCTAACCGAGTCTTTACAGCTTGGCTCTCAGCCCCTGAACGCCTGCCACCCTCACCAGCTCAGGCCAGTTCACCCTTAGAAAGGAGCTTCTGAAGGGAACAAAGAGGCCCTTAAGTGTTTTCTTCCCCAGCTGTGCTTCAGCCAAATGTCAAGCTGTTTATATCCCATGGGACCCATTCCCTGGGGTGTTGACAGGCCGGCCTGTGGGGGCAGGCCCGTTAGGTCCCCACAGTCCCCACAGCAACAGCAGGGCATGGGGGTACTCACTGCATAGGAAGCAGGACTTATGGAAGCTGCTGCCTTCACACTGCACCTCTTCAGCAAAGTAAACCGTCTTCTGGCACACCCCACATTTCTTGCCTCCTCCCCAGTTCGGCATCCTGAGGAGGGACACAGAAATGGGAATTAATTTTACAGGGAGATAGGAACATCTCAGACTGCCCATGACAGAAAAGCAACAGGCAGAGATGGAGGAGAGAAAGCTGAAGACAGAACTCCCATGGGGGCCCCTGGGAGAGAGAGGCCTTCTGCTCCTTGTCAACATCACCCTTCAGTTGCCACTTGGGGGTTTCCTTCCCTGATCTAACCAACAGGTATTTACCAAGCAGCCACTGCATTTTCAGCTAGGTGCTCTAAAGGACATAAATAAGCATAAGAGAAGGCTTTGTAAAGGAAGCTGCAGTAGCAATAAAAATGAACCACCTACCACTACGTACATCAACACGAATGAACTTCACAAAAGAAGCAGATACACGAGAGTTCATAAATACAAACCCACTCATGTGAAGTTCACAAACAGGCAAAACTCATATTGTCGAGGGATGAACATGCAGGTAGAAGAGTTGTTACAGAAAAGGAACATGACTGGGTGGGGTCACCAGGAGGCTGCTAAGGCACTGGCAATGTTATTTTCTTAACGTGGGTGGTTGTCACATGCGGGCTCGATTTATAATTATTCTTCGAACTATACACTTTTTATACAATTTTTTACTTTTTGTATACTTTTTTATACTTTTTTGGATATAAGATATAGCTCATCAAAAAAAGGTTTAAAAAAAAGCAAGAGGTAGGCACACAGGGCACAGTTCTCAGGCTTTAGAGAACGTTAGAATCAGGTGGAGGGCTTTTGCAAAATCAGACTTAGTAGCACCATCACAGACTTGATGAATCGCAACCTCTGAGAATGAGGTACAGGAATCTGGATTTTTATTAGGTACCCTACATGAGTCCACAATAGGTGGCCTGGGCCAACTTCAAGATGCTCTAGGTATTGGTTCAGAGCTGGGGTCCTAATGGCAAACAGGTTTGGTCCAGTCCTGATCCTGCCACTCACTGGCTATGTGACCTACAGCAAGGGAGTCAGTCTTAACAAACCTTGAGTTCTGCATCTGTAAAATGGGAATAAAAAAAGAAGCTACTTCACAGAGTATTTCTGGGAATTAAACAAGATATGGTATTACAAAGGCACAGCACAGTGCCTGGCACATAGTAAGTGCTCAATAATTATTAACACAGAAGTTCGGGACTACGAGAGAGGCGATGCCACAGGTCAGAGCCTGACTTGCTGAAGAGCAGCACAGAAGGTAAATGCGATAGGAACTTGGAGAATAGACAGGGTCTGCTTCTCTCTCCCATTCCAGTCATTCACTCAACAGATATATTACTGAGGCAGGAAAAAAAGACCCTTCTGGCTCTTTTGATAGAAGGTTTTGGAGGGAAGGAGTGTTATAGAGGCAGAGCTGACTGTGGGTACAAGATGGGTGCTGAGGTAGCCCAGGACCTGGTGAATAAAGGAGGATGTGGGGGTGCTGTGAAATGAAGGCGGTGGGAGCCAGAGGGGTTTGTTGCCTCAGGAGGCAAAGGAGACTAAGGAGAAAGTTCCCTGGAACCTGTGCCATGGAAATGCTGAAAATGGAGATGTGGCAACCAGGGCCCATCCTCCTCGTAACAGGGCTGTGCCAGTAGCTAGAGTCAATGTCATGGACAGAGGGAGACAGTCAGCACCGATGGAGAGCTTTACATCTGATGGTGACACCCGAGAAGAGGGTCCAGGTCAAGTTTACCATCACGTCCCCATGCCCTGCATGGCACGTAGCATATAGTTATTCAGTAAATAGTTGGGGAATGAATGAAGGATGCCCTAAATGAAGGATACCCTAATACTGAAAGCCACAGCTGGGGTCATGTCCTGTGCACAGGTGTATCTCTGCAGAGCCTGGGGCCTACCGGAAGTGCTTGGCAAATGTGTGTGGCTGATAAGCAGGGCTTAGGGTGGGGAGCGGGGTTGGTAATGCCAGCTCACTAGCGGCTACTGGGGCTGGAATATCACCGAAATGACCGGAGTCTTCAGCAAGGTGAAGGTCAGTGGAGGAGAGAGACACATTTCACTCTGATAACCTAAAAGGGGGGTTCCCTTTGTCACTGTGGTCCCTCTCTCTCCCCGATCTCCTGCATTCCCACCCTACCTTCTGTCACCTCCATGCTGAGGACTCCCACTCTCTCTGCCCTGACCTCTCCTCTGAGCCCAGGCTCATGTATCCGATTTCAGGTGAGCATGGCCAGCTGGATGGCGCACAGGTACCTCAGCTGCAACATGAGCAATCTGAACTCATGATCTTTTACCACTCTCTCTGCCCTGACCTCTCCTCTGGGCCCAGGCTCATGTATCCGATTTCAGGTGAGCATCACCAGCTGGATGGCGCACAGGTACCTCAGCTGCAACATGAGCAATCTGAACTCATGATCTTTTTTCTCAAACTTGTTCTTCCCGACTTCTCCATTTTTGCTGGTGGCACCACAACCATCCTCTCCATCACTAAGGGATCTTCTCTCAAATCTAGAATGATGATGATCTCTTCCCCTCCTGAGCTGCACCCCTCACCCACCCACCCCAAAACTGTGTGCCAAGCCCACAAGGTCCTGCCAGCGCCTTACACTCCCTCCCTCCCCTCGCCTTTCCACCGCCCCATCACCTCTCACCTCACCCAGATCATCATGACAGCCCCCTGGAAGAGGACAGCATGCTACAATCACCTTTTTCTTGGTAACTACCCCAATTTTCAGCCATGACATGTGGCCTGGGCTTAACCTAACCAGCCAAGGGTACTGGCTCAGGCTGTGTGCCTGACACAGAAAGATAGGAGAAGGGATATCGGGGGGCTCTGGGGGGAAAAATATCCTGATCTTTTGAGAGAATGTCCTGGAAGCCAACTCCTCCCCCAAGTGAAGAAAGAGGGCTCTGGGGTGGTTGGCACAAGGGGAAGTCCTAGGAAGAAGCTGATAGCTGGGAAAACAGAGCTGAAAGACTAAAGAAACTGAGTCTGTGATGGCATCATTAAGCCACCGAATTAAGCCAAACCTAAAGTTTGACATACCTCTGAATGCTCCAGTTAAACAAACCAACGAATTCCCTTTACTGTTTAAGCCAGTCACTTTATAACTGAATGAGATGCTTTCAGAGAGACAACCTTGACAGCAAGGCTGATTCTAGAATCTTCTTCCCAATCCGTCCTTCACACAGCTGCCAGATCTTTCTCATGGAGCACTCCCCTGCTCAAAAACCATCAATGACTCCCCACTGCCTGAGAATAACCAAGCTCCTCACCTTGGCATTCAAGATTCTCTTCAGCACAGTCTCCGCTTAGTTTCCAGCTGTCTCCCATCACTGCACCTCACCCTTTATCAGGTTAGCAGGGTGGGTGACTTACCCACCGTGGTCAGTCCCAAGTGCCCAGTGCAGGGCCCGGCATGTAGGAAGCAGGCAATGTCTGTGCACAGAGCTGAGGGAAGGCTGCGCCGAGGACGAGGGCTTAGGCTGGCGCATTGTCTTCCCCCCAGGGACAGGATCCAGATGGACCACTGCCCACTGTATAGGCCCAGTGTTCCCCTTTCAAGGTTCTGGAGCGGCTGTAGCTCCGTGGGCTCATGCACATTGCTGACACACCCAGGAGGTAGGATTTCTCTAACTGCATGTGACCACTCTCTGCCTTCCTCAGATAACCTGTGGGGCCTGAGCTCCTGATCCCGGAGCCACTCCCAACCTCTGATGTCCCCATTCCTTCAGTCCCTTTCTGTCCTGAGGCCTCCGGGGCTAGCTGCCCTTGTTGGGCAAGGACTCAGGCTGAAAACCTACAATGTGAAAGACAATCTGACAATAGCCAGGTGGATTATTGTCTGCCTGACCATCAGCCATTTCCCCTTCATTCTTGCTACAGAACCCTGATTCCATTCTATCAGCCGAGAGGCTCAGGGGAAGTGCCCCATCCCCAGATCTATGGACAGCGCCTGAGTGACCTCAGCCAACCATGTCAATTCCATTCCCCTGCCAGTGGCTGATTTAGGAACAGGCTGAGGCCATTTCTGGCCAGTGAGACGTCAAGGGAGCTTTCCTTGGGGAGCCTCTGGGGGAATTGTGTTCAGTCATATGAAGCCACATAGACTCTCTTCTCCTTCTGATGAGGTGACAGGATGTGACCCATGGAACTGCAGTCAAGGCACCCTGGCTGCCACTGACCGAACGCCTACTATGCACCAGACAGTTTACCTGTGTCATCCCATTTCATCCTCATCACCTGAAGATGGAGAGCACATGCCCCCTCTACAGATGAGGGAAGCAAGGCTCAGAGAGGTTAGGCAACTTGCTCGTAGTCACACAGCTGGAAGAGGCAGAACTGGAATTCTAATGCAAGTCCATCCATTTCTGAGTACACTGTGCCCACAATCACCATGCTGGGGCCCTAGTACGCTTAAGACTGGCTGCCCATGGTGGGCACACAGTACATCAATCAAGAGAGCCAGCTCTCTTCCTGGGCCCCTTCTCCCTTTCCAACCTCCTGAACCAATAGGGGACATGCTTATGCCCCTGGGAATACCCTAAGGGAGGAAAGTTCCCCCTAACCACATGGCTGGGAGCCAGTTCCAGGCAATGTTTTGTCCCAGACACAAAAGCCCTTCTCCCTTTGGGGTAGACCCGCAGCTCCACACAGGCCTCCCTTTGTTCTGCCTGGCTCCTGTCAGGGGCCCACATCCAGGAGGGCCCCAGGGAATCAGGAACATGAGATGGGTGAAACCCAAGGACCTGCCAGTAAGGAAAATCCACTCAGGATGCCTCTCAGCTGGGCCATTCTTTTGGGCCTGGCCATTTGGCTGGGGGTCTCCTGTCAGGAGCCCAAGTGAAGGGACAGGGCCTTGAGATGAAAAGCAATGACTGTGTCCATGGCCAGGAAGGGTTCCAGGCAGTCCCTGTGGATGGCTCCCTGTCCCCCTCTGCCCAAATGAGGACCCCTCCAGGGGACCTGGCCCGTAGGGAAGAGTCCCAGCTGGAGGGAGCCCTGGCCATCTCCTTCTTCACTCCACCCCCTCCTTTCTGCCCGCAGCTTCT